CGACGTATTTCACGAATCGCGGGCTGACGCGCTGCGTGCGACGGCTACGGCGTGACATAGTTTCGACGGACGCGCGAAACGAAGTTGCGATGCGAATTCATAGTGATTTTGACGACTTCAGCGCCTATTATTGGTGCCCAAATTTGAAGTAGTGTAGATTAGTAGTACCAGCTGACCTACTAATGTTTTGCTCCAATTTTGTGCCCCAATAATAGGCGCCAGAGTGGATCGAATGGTCATGAAGTTCGCTGCGCAATTTGCCGTGCGCAGCTCGAATCGCACGAATGTACCCATAGCCGGGAAATACACCCGTTGGTACAATACACCCAAACAGCGATTTGCCCGCCATTCCCATGAATGACTGATGCGGCGGGAGGTCCTTACAGAATTTATCGTGGAATAATAAACAACCGAACTAACGTAGATAACATGTTCCATACTGCGAGATATTTCTTTGCGATTCACACTCTGATCCCATCTTAAGAACGACGAAAGCGGACTGATTGTCGTTCATGGTCGCGTTGTCATGTTTTCAGCCATAACTAGACATTCGAGCTAGGACCGGCAGCCGACTTGTTCGCCGTAAATTGGCTTTTTGTACTACAGCCGTGTAATATCTAATGAGCTTTCGTCTGTTTCCCAAAACTACTTTGCATGTAAATGTAGAACCTCATAGAGCAACCCTTTGATGTTGACGCGAGTCGATAGACATCTTTAGCATTTCAGATGCTTGCACAGTCTTGATCCCATCTGCCACGCGTGAAATCGTCAGAGGTAAGTCGCTTTTTTAATGAAAATAAGTTTCGACTATACGAAAATTCAGCCACATTCGGACAAATTTGATCCTGGGCTCAAAATGACGAGAACGAGGAAACGGATTGGATCTCGCGCCGGGAAGTATGCCAGGAAGTTGGTACAAGCTGGTCATTTGATCGAGTCATTTCGCAGGTGAGCACTGCTTTCCCGCTTTTTCTTTGTTTCTTTATTCATTACTCTGTGCGTACGACGTCTGAGTAAGGAAATAAATAGACGTAATAAGTTCATCAAGGTAGTCAAAATGGTTTTTTTTTTGCAAGTTTACGCTTCACTGACTATGGGCTCACTGCATGTGTTGAGGCGCTTTCAGCAAGTCTTCCTTTTGGCTTTTTCTCAACTGAAGAAGATTCGATCTGCTGTTCAGATTAAATGAATGTTAGAGGGCTGAATCCGTTTGAAATTTTCGAGGGTAGGGTTGGTCATCATTCATGAAACGCAGAACATAGATTCATAGAAACATGTTAGTAGACTCGTTTTGATCTCTTTTTCGAAAAGGGTCATTGTAACGTTCAAGTCTTTCATGTTACCATTATTTTCTTTCATAACTTTTTTGATAGAGTTCTATAGGTACCGGTTCTGAACTGGAAGCGGGGGCTATACGGTGTACAAAACATCACTAATCACTTGTCCACTTCATTTTTTGCCGCCGTTGAATCTTGGCACACGCAATATCATATGCGAGCGAAAACTGCACAGTCAACAAGTCTACATTTCGATAGGTCGTGGCTACTCTTGGTTTATTTTCATTGCCACGAGGATGGTTTTTGGTGGGAATGAAACGTGAGTAGTGCCAATAATTCATTAATGTGTTAATCAGTGAGACAACGAACTGAATATACTAGGTTCTAATACTGCTAGTGCAGAAACCAGGGAGGTCCTTTCTTGAGAGGGAGCGGCTGGAAGTGGTTGCGTCACTCCAGAAGAGGCCACGACTCCAACCAAAGTCTCCTTTCATGGGCACTTTGTAGCTGGAGGGCACACCGGGACATGGATAGAACTCACTGTCATGCTATCTAGTAACGGTAGCTGGAAGATGTAGTTATCCATTACAGACATCGAATTACTCATTAATTGCGAGCTCGTATAAGTAAGATTGATTTGATGCAAAAAGCTTATGAGAAGGGTACAAATTGATGAAAATGAGTAAGCATCTAATTATGGTACTGTGTTGTTGGCTAGGCAAATGATTAAGTTCTAACGACTTCTCGAATAGCGTTCTGAACTTGGTCTCTTCAAGAAGTCCGTTACTGAGCTCAGATTGTGAAAATGTCCGACATTCGAGACAAATTTCAACACGGTATTCCCTATGGTTGGGTGACAGCATTAATTTTTGTTTTTCATTTCTTCTGCATTTCACGGATCAGTATCGACACATTTCTTTCCTTATTATAATGCTGAGTCTTTAATTACCGTTTTGTATACAGGGAATGCTGCTGAGTAGTAGCGTACTGCACTGCCGCGTATCCTGCTGAATGCACATGCATCCGATCTTTGATATCTTTCACGATTTCTTTGTGAGCTAGTGGCCATAGTTCATTATTGAACAAGTGTGGATGATTCTCGAGTCTTCTTTCTTGCGTAGGCAGGTGACCCCTCATGCTGAGCCGATCCTGATAGATATTCCATCGTTGTCTTTTCCACATTTTTCCCTAAAACAGTTTTACTTGCTTTTGGATGAGTCTTCTTAGCTCTGCAGGTCTGAAAATGGTGGACACCGTAGTCTCCTTCCTCTCCTTCTTCTCCTTATCGCCATCGCANGGGCGCCGTTCTTGTGAGCCGTTTCCACTTCTATCAACAAGATTTTCTACGACTACTTTAGCTTCGGCACGGTCCTTCTCGATCATGTTCCATCACCACTTTTTTGAGGCTCGGGGCTCCCCGTATTCGCCCCTTAGGTTCAAATCGCGTTCCCTCCCTTATGAGATGATTAATTGGTTCGCAGAAAAGTACTAGTTGTAGGCCCATCCAAGCATCCTCGTTCCAGTGGAGTAAAGCTGCCCTTCAGATTCCTACTTACGTGCCAGCACTCGCTGGCACGTAAGTCGAACAGCGCGTCCTAGGGGTCATCACTGTTCGGTGCGAGTTCCCTTAAAGAATCCTGGTCGTCATTGAGAATACCAGTGGGCCCTCTGCATTTCATCGAGCTACGTTTAATCGAGTCTTTACGGCCTGTTCCACCCTACTGTCAGCAACCAGATTGCTTCTCAAGTATCAGGAGTCCCACAGTTTTGCGATGGCTACCCCAAGGCAATCAGGCAATTTGCGATTGGCTTTGCGCAATCCTTTGAGCTAAAAAACTTGGTCTTTACTCTGATTCAGCTAGGGCCATTCTCTGCAAGAACTTCGTGCCATTCACTTTTCCCAAAACCCTTCCTTATTTTCCGCTATTAGCAATGCCCGGTAGAGTATGTTTGTGAATGTTCATCCGATGTCCTTTTGCGATGACTCATTGTTAGCAGAAAGGGAACGTTATCCCTATTGTCTCTAACTAAGTTGTTGCTTTTAGTAAGCTGTGAGGTGTGCGTATGGGCGTCTCTACCTGTCGTACATTTTCTTCTTCTTCTACTTCTTCTTCTTCTTATTTTTTAACGTGTGTCCCGCTTCTAGACGGGGTCCGCTTTACTGATATGTTGACGCCACTTGTCCCAACGCTTGAGCGGGGTGTATGTTAAACGCTTTAAGATCTTCGTGCAACGTATCGAGCCACCGCTGCTTTGGACGTCCTCTAGGCCGCTTTCCGGACACGTCAAGGTTGGAACCGATCTTACGGACACTGTCGTTCTTTGCGCGAAGAGTATGACCATACTATCATAGACGAGCTTCGCGCATTTTATCGATGGGCGCTACACCGAGTCGCTTCCTGATGGCGTCATTACTTATACGGTCTAAGCGTGTTACTCCGGCTGTCCAGCGCAGCATTTTGGTCTTCATCACACTGAGACGGGCTTCAAGCTCTTTGGTTGCACGCCAGCATTCAGCGCCGTAAATTGCGACCGGCCGGATGACGGTTCTGTAGATCTTGGATTTGAGACGCTCAGGGATGTTCTTATCGCAGAGTACGCCAGTCACTGAGCGCCACTTCAACCACGCTGCATTCACGCGAGAATTCTTTTCAAAACTCAGGCTGCCGTCAGACGCAATTGCCGATCCAAGGTACTTGAAGATTGTTGTCCATGTGAGCTCAGGTCATTGATATTGATAGAGCCTGGCTCGCTCGAATCAGTGGTCAAGTACTCAGTCTTTTTGACGTTTACCCTGAGCCCGAACATAGCCAGACGGTCGGACCAGGTCTGCACCTGTGACTCGAGCTCGCTTTTGTCTTCGCTGGCGAGCATCACGTCATCGGCGTAAAGAAGCGTCCATGGAGCTTTCTTCTGGAGGTCTTTTGTAATGGCATCCATGACGAGAACAAAAAGTAGTGGGGATAACGCAGAGCCTTGGTGTACTCCGACGGGAACGGGAAATTCCGTCGACGTTCCCAGTGCCGTTTGCACTCGGCTCTTTGGGCTAGTGTAAAGGATGCGCACCCACTCAATGAGCTCTTCGGGTACGCCATGCTGTCGTAAGGCATACCATATAACGTCTCGTGGAACGCGGTCTAAAGCGTTCTCAAAGTCTAGAAAGGCAAGATGTACCGGTCTTCGTTTCTCGCGATGCTTTTCTAGAAGGAGGCGAGCAGCGTGTATAGCGTCGATGGCGCTACAATCAGCTACGAAGCCACACTGGTTGGTGTTCTGCTCTACGATGTCACGGGTACGACTGTCTACAGTTCGCTATAAGCTTTTCATGTGTGTGAGCAACCGAATTGGACGGTAATAGGTGCAGTGCCCTTCTTCCAGATAGGAATCGTGTTGCTCTGTTGCCATCTCTCAAGCACCTTCTTTGCAATTACCTGGTTTAGGAATTCAGCCACACTGCAGAATTCCAGACCTCTGGTTCCCTTAGGTCCGCCGCTAAGTCGTCAGGACCAGTTGCTTAGTCTGATTCCATCCTACTTCGTAGCCGCAATGGTCTCATTCACGGTTATCTTCTGTACGGGACCGTGTACTGGCGGAGCGCAGGGGATGGCGGGATGAGCGAATTCGACTGTTGGGATGTTTGCGAAGTACTCTCGTCATCGTTTCAGTGTTTGCCTGCGGTCCGTTAAGAGGTGACCGTTCTCGTCATTTATGCTGAAAAAACTTTTACATATCCTGGGTCTTGCTTTTGCGTGTCTTTGCGAGTCGGTTAACGCGAGATTCGAGTTCCTTATTGAGAACGGCATAATGAGCTGCACTATCAGAAGCAACGGCCTTCTTCGCCTCTTCCTTTGCTATCTGATAGCGTTGCCAGTTGTCAGCTGTCTTTTCGATAAGAAATGCGTGGTACTGCTTTTTCTTCTCACGGACTTTATCTCTGAAATGGTCCGTCCACAGCCATGTTTGCTTATCGAGCTTTCGCCGTCCAGGCTTGGTCATGCTATGTTTCGCCTGTACTCCTACCAAGTTTAAACGCTCTACATCCAAGGGGACAGGAGTCACGAATTTTTCTTGAACATCTATCCCACGCCAGCCCCGCTCCCTGTTGGCGGAGGGTAATCCTGCCACCCACCACAAGTCTTCCCCTCTTGCCCCCTACCAAGTTTTAACGTTTTAGGTCCACGGGAACAGGGACAGTTATGAATTTTCAGTCGGTCACACACGCACACACACACGCACACACACATACACACATACACACATACACATACACACATACACATACAGATACACATACACATACACACACCTTAGCGCGTTATACAGGGTGCGCCATAAATATGGTAACACATTTCGGACGTCCGTAATTTCCTTGTTTGGAGGGTTTCTCCAAATCTGCACCCCTCCCCCCTTATGTTTATGATTTACTTTAGCCCACATATCTATTTTGGTACTCTCATTTCTCAGATTTCGAGAAGCGGTGGAGCCTCGCAGACATCCACCGACCGCTCCGTCTTTGCGGGCATTTGGTGAGTCCTTTTCCGGGTTCGTTCCTCGTTTCGACATTTCCCACATGACAGTCTCTTGGATCGCTTTGCGTAGACAGATCAATGACAGGCCTAAATACGGTCGTCTTGTCTCACACACGACTTCTTTTCCGAATACACTTGCTCACGAAGGAGTACGCTGCGGAACCTGCAGAAATGTAAGGAAAGTGACTGCTCATTTGTTTGTATGTTCTAGTCCGATTGGAAGAGTCTCCCCAGAGTAAATACAGGGTGTCCCAAAATTATTGGCGCCAAAATTCAGAAATTTTCAAGGTAGAAATAATATATCAAATTCACATAACCTGTTATTAATTACCTGCATAAGAAGGTTTACTTGCAATATGCATGGATACTGATGTGGAACTCCCAATATCTCTCAGATGGAGGAGGCTCATTCAATGCCACTTGCAATCATTGACACGCGAGAGGTGGAAGGG